ATATATATATATATAATAATATATATATATATATATATATATATATATATATATTTATTTTAAAAATATATTTTAATATATATTTTAGGATAATTAGGTGATAAATATTATATAGTTTTAAAAGGATCTGTAATATGTTTAATTCCAAATTTAAATTAATTAAAAAGCAGGTAACACTAATTAGATGAAAATATATATCCTGGAATTAGTAAATCTTCATTAAAATCGCCTTTATAAGAATATATAAATAAGGGTTAGGCTTTATGGAGAATAGTATCATAAAAATATTTGAAAAACAGAGTGTATATTTTTTTTTATTAAGATAATTATCTTATTTAATTATATATATATAAAAAAAAGAAAATAAAAAATTGTAATGAAGTAAGAATCAGAGGTTAGTGAGATTATTCAAAATAAATTCTAAGATTTTATTTAAGTCAAAATATATAAAGCTGGTGAAGGTTTTGGAGAAATAGCATTAATTACAAACTCTAAAAGGTAAATAAAAATATATATAAATAGAAATATAGATTGAAAATATCAAATATCTTTGTTTATAATATAAATTATAATAATAATAAAAAAAATATATAAATTAAATTAATATATATATTGATATATATATATATATATATATATATATATATATATATATTTTTATATATATATATATATAAGAACAGCTACAATGCTTTGTTAAGAAGATACACATTTAATAACTCTTTCAAAATAAAGTTTTAATAAACTCTTAGGTGCTTATCATAATATATCGAAAAGAAATGCATTAGATTATTTATAATAATTTAATTTTTTTAAAAATATTTAGCCTTCAAGGCTTCTTTCTATTTTTCAATTCATGAAGTTAGAAACTTTTTAAAAAAACAAAATTTTATATAGTTAAGGAGATTCTTGTACAGACCTTTATTTTATAAAAGAAGGTGAAGTTGAAATTACATAAATTATATTTATTGAAGATGAAGAATATGAAGAATAAAAATAAATAGATGATATATAAAGAAAATATCAACGTTTAAATATTAATTATTAAAATAATTAATATTTTAGACCTTACAAATAAGTCGCCTTATCAATTGTGGGCAAAAATTAGTATTTTGGAATTGATTAAGCTTTTGTTAATAATTTAAAAGTTAGAGAAACTAAAGCAACTATTATATCTAATGTAGCTGAAATATATTAAATTAACTAAGATGTAAATTTAAAATATAATATTTATATTTTTTATTAAAAATACATTTAAAGTATATAATAATATTTTTTTTTATTATAGAAACTTATTAATTCTCTTAAATTAAATGGAACACTTAATTTATATTTATAGGATATTTAAATTAAATACGATTGGTAAATTTAAAGGACTTAACTTATTTAAAATGTTAAGTCTAATCTTCTAAAAGAATAACTTACGGAAAAGAAAAAAATAAATTTTAAGAAAAATTCGAAAGATATTAGTTAAGAATTAAAAGAAAATAAATAATTTGATAATTATATATACAAAAGAAATGTTTTTGTTAAAACTGTTTAGGATTAAATAATAACTAAAGAAAATAATTTCTAGATTTTAGATTAAAGAAATAAGTTTTTGAAATAAAAATGTCTTAGTATTGATTTATTTAAATAACTTTCTAATAACTTTACTAATAAAATTTAGTTTTAAAAAAAAAAAGTAAAAAATGAATACTTGTAAAGATATATAATTTATTACTGAACATAATTCTAATAATGATTAAAATATTTACATGAATAATTTTTCATATACAATAAAAAATATGTTTAAATAAAAAACAATATGTCTGATTAATAACATTATTTTGATATAAAGTATATTATATTATTTAAATTTATTTAATAGTTTAGATTAATTATTTATTAAATACATTTATTTTTGTTTATATTTTTTATTTTTTATAGAAAAAATTAAGAATATTTTTAGAATATAACTTAAAGCGAAAAATAAAAAGATTTGACATTTTTTAATTAAAGAAGATAAAAAGAAAGTGAAAAATATATTTTTGAAAATATAAAAAAAATATTTAAAATTGAAAATGTTATAAGAAATTAGCATGATAGGTAATTTTTCTAATAAATAAATGAAAATAATATAGAGAAAGATGTTTTAAGTACTTCTAGAAACTAATTAAATTTTTATAATAATATTCGAAAAAGAAATTCAGAATAATTACTTTTAAAAACTTATTTGTAAAGAAAATAAATTTTTTGTAATTATTTTACTTCAAGAAGTAATTCAAAAGAAATATCTTTATAGTAATCTTCTATTATGAATAATAATAATTTTTTAATAGAAACTTCATCTTTGCTTAAAAAAAAAATGTTATGAAGGCAATTAAAAATATTTTTGTTTAAACACGATATAAATTTTTTTTATAATATAATAAATTTATTATTTAAAATTTATATTTTTGTTTATAAAAAAAAAAAAAAATATTATTATTATTTATTTAAGTATAAATATTTTTATTTTTTTAAATATGTAAATAATATTTTTTATTTAATACTTTTATATTATTTTGAATAATATATTAATTTTTTTTTTTTTTTTTAATGAACCTTTTTTTTATATAATTTAATTTATTTTCCTTTTTATTTATTATAAAATATTTTTTTATCATATAAAAAAAAATATTAAAATTTTATGATTTATGAAACAGTTTTATTTAGTCTTAATTTAAAATAAAATCATTAGTTAATTTAAAGCTAATTTTATTCATATTATTAATCCTTATTTTATTAGAAATGTTAATTAGCTTTAAACTCAGAATATAAGGTAAAAAGTACATGTAGAGACTCAATAACATTAGTATTATTACTAGTGTTATGGACTGGAATATCTAAAATCGCACAAGCTAATTTGCTATAATCCATAAGATTTAAATCTAATTCTTCGCTCGGGATTTTAAAATTAGAAAGCGCATCTTCTATTTCTTAAGGCCAAACCTTTATTTTGATTTATATTTTTTTAAAAAAAAATTAATAAATTTTACTTGCATTAAAGTATCAATATCAGGCATTTACTTAGTATAAGAAACACTTGGAGGTTGTTTTTTTTTTCGAATTTAAGCTACATTATTTATCCATAATTGAATTTCTTTTGGATTTTTTTCTGCGTTTTCTATAGAATGTATAGTTATAGATTTATCATCTTTCTTTTTTTTAACTAATTCCTTATACATTAAATCTATTACGGGCCTATTTGATTAATTTAATGCTGGTTCATCCTATTTTTTTATTAAAAAAATAATAATAATATCATAATTACTAATATATGTAATCCTAATTATTCTTCTTGTTAATCTGGTCGTGCCATTTTTAAAAAAGCATCAACTTCTCCCACTGCAGGATAGTATTCAGGAATAAAAGGTCGTAATTTTGATTACAATTACATGTTTATAGGTTAATATCTTTATACATATTTAAATAGTTCTTTTATCTCATTATTTACATCTAAATGTGCATAATCGGAAGGATTATATGCGCCTACAATTTGTGGAGGTTTTAAATCTTCTTCACTTAATTATTTTTCTTATCCTTATTATTGAGATTTTTGTTAAGTTTTTAGAATATTATTATCTTTGTTTTCAGGTTCGTCATGAGATTCTATGTCTTCTATTTTTTTTATTTTATTTATTCATTTTAAATAAAATATAATTTATTTTTTACCAGATTGACCATCAGAATCTAAATCAACTGCCTCATCTATATGTTGATTATCGATTTTTTATATTTTTGCCTTATCCATAAGCTTTATTTTAAAAATTAAATAGTAATGATGTAAATTTTTATTTGATATATACATTTTAATCACTCATTTTTGAAATTTTTTTTTTATTTGTTTAAATTTTGATTTTTTTTTATAATTTTAAAATCAATAAATTATTTATTTCTTTTTTTATTTTTTTTAATATATATATTAATTATAAGATAGATAAAGGATATAAATATTTTATTTTATTTTAAGAAAAAAAAAAATTATTTTAAAATAAATAGATAACTTTATTTTAAATAAATATATTGTAAAAAAAAATTTAAATTAATTATTTTCATAAAAATAAAAATAAAAAAATTAATATAATAAATATATATATAATTAAATAAAACAATTTTAATTAAAAAAATTAGATATTTTATAAATAAATAAAGACTATAAAAATTTAATTTAATTTAGTATATTTATAAAAAAAAAAAATTATAAAATTTGAATTTAATATATATGAAATAAAAAAATAAAAAATTAAAAGTATTATTTTTGATTTTATAATTTAAAAAGTTTTTGTATTTTCGTATTATATAAATATAATAAATATTATAAAATTAATTTAATTAAGAATACAATATATATCTTATTTGAATTATTATATATATAAATTAAAATAAAAATTATATTATTTAATATAATAAATTTATTAATTAAAAATAAAATTATTATTATTATCTTTCTGATTATAATAACTTAAATAAAATGCAAGATAATATTAAATTAATAAAATAAAAAAGAAAATATAAAAAAAAAAATGATAATAAATATATATATATAATAATAATAATAATAATAATAATAATAATAATAATAATTAAAATATTAATAATAATAATAATAAAACATTATTTTTAATTTAGCTATATTTTTTTTTTTTCAATTTTATGAATACTTCATTATATTTATCTTTTTTTTATCATTATTATGTTTATTTTAAATATTTTTGCATTTATTTGTTCATTTAAACATATTTTTTTATATAAATAGAAATTTTTATAAAAATTATTATTTTTATTATATTTAATATTATGTTTTTACTATATATATAATTATATATTAATAATATAATTTGTTTTTTATACAAAAATAATTGAATTTAATTTAAATTATATTTTATTTTAGTTTAATTATATAATTTTATTTATTTATTAAATAATCTTATTTTATTTTTTATATTTTTTTTTTTATAATAATTCATTTATTTTTATTAATATTTTTTAAATAAGAATAATTTGAAATTATATATTTTTTTCGAATTTGTTTTTTATAAAAAATGTAAAATAGTATTTGATATTTTATTTTATTTTTTAACGAGTATTATTTTTTTTTTTAAACAAATATATTTAAATAAATTTATAAAAATGTTAAAAATATATATAATTTTTTCTTGTATAATAAAAAAATTAATTATTAATTATTTATATATTATTCCAATTATTAAATTAATAAACAATAACATTTAATTTTATTTTTTTAGTTTAATTTAAACTAATTAATATCAATAAATTATTCTTCTGAGTATAAACTAAAAACTTCATATATAATTAATTATATATTTTACAATTAAAATAAAAAATATATAGTATATAATAATATTAATAAATTTTTAAATGGGTAATAATTGTTGCAGTAATACATCCGATTAACAAGAATAAATATAACATGATATTAAAAATCATTAAGATTAATATGAAACAGATTTTAATAATTATGGTAAAATAAAATACAAAAAAATTATAAAAATATATATATAAAGAAACAAAATTTGACAATAAAAAATATAACTAATAAAACATATAATAAAAGAAAACATTACCTTTAATAGAAAATTAATTAAAATACCAAACTTTTATACAAAGTAACGACATATAGAACCCCGATTAATACGAAAATAATAAACGCGAATTAAATTCATAAAATCAACACTATCCTTAAATTAACATAGCCTGGCCAGTAACTTAAATTCCAAATTATTTAAGTGAAAATAGTAAAATAATTGTTTAAAATGTTTCTAAGTTTGAATATGATGAAGATGAACCAGAATATACTAATCTTCCGACACTTGGCCCTTATTAATTTGAGAACGGTTCTGTCTATGTTGGCTAATGGAAAAATGGGTATAGAAATGGTAGAGGAACATAATATTGGGCTGATGGATCTATATATGAGGGATATTGGAAAGATAGTAGTTTTTTTTAATAAAAAATAAAAAAATAAAACAAAAATAAAACAAAAAATAATTTTTATAGATATGACAAATGGAAAAGGAAGACTTATACATAGTGATGGAGATATATTTTATGGAAGATGGGCAAACGATAAGGCAAATGGAACTGGGACTTATTATCATACTAATGGTGCTATATATGAAGGCTAATGGTATGATGATAAATAACATGGAAAAGGTATTGAAAAATGGCCAGATGGAGCAAAATATGAAGGAGACTATTTTGAAGGGAAAAAAAATGGAAAAGGACATTTTAATTGGTCAGATGGGTCAACTTTTGAAGGAGATTTTTTAAAAAACAATATCCATGGTAAAGGAATTTATAAATGGCCAGATGGAAGAATTTATGATGGAGAATGGGTAGAAAATAAAATGGATGGAAAAGGAGTGTTTAAATGGTAGGATGGTAGGAAATATGATGGTGAATATAAAAATGACAAAAAGCATGGCTACGGTGTTTTTAGTTGGCCTGATGGTAATTATTATGAAAATATGTTTTTAAAATTTTTGTATTATTTTAATTAGGAAACATATATAAAGGATATTGGGCTAATGGAAAATAACATGGAGAAGGATTATACATAGGAAATAAATAAGATGAGAAATATGGAGAATGGTATAATGGAAAGAGGATAAAATGGTAATAATAAATAATATTGAAAATAAAATTATAATTTTTTTATATAAAAAAAAGGATTTTCTAAATAAAAAGAAAAATAAGAAATATAGAAAATTTGAAACTTTAATATAAAAAATAAAAAAATATAAAATAATTTAATATAATATGATGAAATAATATAAAATGTTTTATATATATATATATATTTAAAATTTATATATTAGTAAATTTATAAATTTATATATATTTATATATTTATATATTTATATAATTAAATAAATATCTATTTAAATAATATTATTATATTTATTTTATTATATTAATTTTAATTTTATGTTATTTTATTTTTTAATATTTTTATTTAATTAATTTTTTTTTTTTTTTTAATTTACTTATTATTTATAAAAATTATTATTTTATTATTTTATATATTATATATAAAATTTTATTTTTATTATTATAAACAAATTAAATAATTTTTTATTTGTTTTTTTTTTTTTAATATTTATCTCTATATTATATATGTTTTTTTTGAATATTAATATAAATTAAATTTAAAAGAATATTTATCTAATATATTTTTTATCAATATTTATTTAATTATTTTATTTTACATTTATTATATTTTTTTTTTATTTTTAATTTATTTACTAAATTAATAAAATATAATTTATATTTTTATATTTTTAATTTAAATATAATTTTATAATAAATATATTTTTTTTGTTTTAATTTAATATTTTTTATATAATATTATTATAATTTGAATAATTATTATTTTCTTTCTTTTCAAAACAAATTAAAATCAAATATAATATAATAAAAAAATAAATAAAATAAATATATTTATCAAATATTTTTTTTTAAATAAAATATAATAAAATTATTATATAAACAAATAAAAAATATTTGTATATCTAATAATTTAATTATACATAAATTTATTTTATATTATTTATTTTAATATATTTTATTAATATAGTTTATTATATATGATTTTTCTTTTAAATATATTATATATATGATCTCAAAATTTAATACATTTAGATGAATTTTATATATGATGCTTCTAAATAAATTTTTAATTTTTTTTTTTTCTTAATTACTTCTTTAAATATTAGATATTCTGATTTTATGTATATTGTTATTTATTGATTTTTGAAAATTAATTGATTTATTAATAAATTATAAATATAATTAATTTAGTATTGAATAAATATATAATAAGCATAAATATTTATATTTCTTTAATTTTAGAAAAAAAATTATTTATTTATATAAAAAAATTAAAACTTTTTAAATTTAAGAATTATTTAAAAAATTATTTTTAAAAAATATCTGTTTATATATAATCTTAAAAATTTACATTGAATTTTAAATTTTTAAAATTATTATTATTTATATTTTCTGTTTAATTATTTTTTTAAAATTAAATCAAAAATATAAAAGACTAATAATAAATTATAGCTTTATTTTTTTTGTCTCTCAGATTTTATAAAAAAATTAAAGTAAAAATAAAAAAAAACATACTTAAAATTTATATAAATGAATAATTTTTTTAAAAAATAAATTTGATATTTAAAAAATATCCAGATAAAATAAAAATAGCATTTAATAAAAAAAATTATTGAAATAAAACATTAAATTCACACAAAATGATTAGAATTATTATTATAAATTTGTTTTAAAATTAATAGCATTATAAAAATTCAATTTTATAAATATATAATGTATATATATATATATATATATATATATATATAT